AAATATACACCTTACAATCATTCCATAAACCAAATATAGTTTACCTATTGCTTAAAGTTTAAGAAAAACAGACCAAAACACAAAAACTTAACATTGAGCAATGAGCCATGAAAATGAGGTTACGGTCAAATCAAATCTGCCAGACTGACATGTATATCGTAAAATATTCCATACACCAAATATAGTTGACCTATTGCTTACAGTATTAGAAAAACAGACCAAAACACAAAAACTTTTAACATTGAGCAATGAACCGTGAAAATGAGGTCAAGGTCAAATAAAACCTGCCAGACTGACATGTACATCGTAAAATATTTCCATATACCAAATATAGTTGACCTATTGAATACAGTAATAAAAAAACAGACCAAAACACAAAAACTTAACTTTTACCACTGAACCATGAAAATGAGGTCAAGGTCAGATGACACCTGCCAGTTGGACATGTACACCTTACAATCATTACATACACCAAGTATAGTAGACCTATTGCTTATAGTATCTGAGATATGGACTTGACCAAGAAAACTTAACCTTGTTCACTGATCCATGAAATGAGGTCCAGGTCAAGTAAAAACTGTCTGACAGGCATGAGGACCTTGTACGCACATATCAAATATAGTTATCCTATTACTCACAATTAGAGAGAAATTAACATTACAACAAATCTGAACTTTTTTCAAGTATTCACTGAACCATGAAAATGAGATCTAACTTCTGAAATATTAAGCTTTTAAGTAGTTAGTTAACGCTGCCGCTGCTGCCGCATCACTATCCCTAAGTCGAGCTTTCTGCGACAGGCTCAACAAAAAAAATACACGGCACAGGGAAGGCTTATCCAAAAAAACATACACGGGACACAGGGAAGGCTTATCCATAAAAACATATATAGGACACAGGAAAGGCTTATCCATAAAATATCCACAGGACACAGGGAAGGCTTATCCATAAAAACATACACAGGACACAGGGAAGGCATATCCAAACAAGTAAAACTGTGAGCTACTGCTCACTGATGATACCCCTGCCGAAATATTTCGGTAAACAGGAAGTTGTTGAGTGATGAATCTGAAAACGCATCACACGGTATAGCTGACTAAAATAAACCCTGAAACCAAATTTCAGAAATCCTTGACAAGTAGTTCCTGAGAAAAATGTGACGAAAATTTTCAACTTGGCTTTCATGTGCAAAATAATACAAGTATTCAGTTAATAGGAAGTTGTTGAGTGATGAATGTGAAAACGCATCACACAGTGTAACTTACTTATATAAACCCTGAAACCAAATTTCAGAAATCCTTGTCAAGTAGTTCCTGAGAAATTGTGACGAAAATTTTCAATTTGGCTATCATGTGTAAAATAATACAAGTGTTCGGTAAACAGGAAGTTGTTGAGTGATGAATCTGAAAACACATCATATGGTGTAACTTACTTATATAAACCCTGAAACCAAATTTCAAAAATCCTTGTCAAGTGGTTCCTGAGAAAAATGTGACGAAAATTTTCAACTTGGCTATCATGTGTAAAATAATACAAGTGTTCAGTTAACAGGAAGTTGTTGAGTGATGAATCTGAAAACGCATCACACAGTGTAACTTACTTATATAAACCCTGAAACCAAATTTCAGAAATCCTTGTCAAGTAGTTCCTGAGAAAAATGTGACGAAAATTTTCAACTTGGCTATCATGTGTTAAATAATACAAGTGTTCGGTAAACAGGAAGTTGTTGAGTGATGAATCTGAAAAAGCATCACACAGTGTAACTTACTTATATAAACCCTGAAACCAAATTTCAGAAATCCTTGTCAAGTAGTTCCTGGGAAAAATGCTACGAAAATATTCATGGGAGGGACAGACTGACGGATGGATGGATTGACTGACGGAAGGACAGACAGAGGTAAAACAGTATACCCCCACTTTTTTAAAGCAGGGTATAAAAAACTAGCGCAGGACACAGGGAAGGCTTATCCATAAAAACATACACTGGACACAGGGAAAGCATATCCATAAAAACATGCACAGGACACAGGGAAGGCTTATCCATAAAAACATACACAGGACACAGGGAAGGCATATCCATAAAAACATGCATAGGACAGAGGGAAGGCTTATCCATAAAAACATACACAGGACACAGGGAAGGCTTATCCATAAAAACATGCACAGGACACAGGGAAGGCTTAACCATAAAAACATACACAGTACACAGGAAAGGCTTATCCATAAAAACATACAGGAAACAGAGAAGGCTTATCCATAAAAACATGCACAGGACACAGGGAAGGCTTATCCGTAAAAACATGCAGGACACAGAGAAGGCTTATCCATAAAAACATACACAGGACACAGGGAAGGCTTATCCATAAAAACATACAGGGGACACAGGGAAGGTATTTTAAAATCTCCACTGAACTAAACTCAACGCGTAAAAGTTTCTTCAGACATATAATTTTGTCCTGTATTGTCCTGCAAGTTAAATTATTCTTTTCTCTCTTTTAATTAACAATGTGTAGCTACATGATAAATTGATTGAAATGCAATATGCCATCACAGCTCTATAGTTTGAAAAAGTTCTGTTCAACTTAGGTATGGGTATTAAACCTTGCATATAAAATAATTGTGATATATAACTACAATGCAATGAACGTATTGCTGCAAGTGTTTATTTATTCCACTGAGGAAATGAAAGCTATTTATAGATTACAAAATATTATTATGCTTTGGATCATTTCCTCTTGGAGACACATGTGATTTTAGAGAAAATTCTATAGGTAAATGTTTGTAATAATTTATTTTGTTGTTTTACATAATTGTGAATTTCATTCTGATGGGAAAACATAAACAAAAATCTTTAAAGATAATCAAAATAAATAACATTGAAATCCTTTCCTGTTTTGTGTTTTTCACTGTTTGATTGATTGATTGTTGGTTGCTTAACGTCCAGTGGCATTCACTGCTTGAATACATAAGTTCAAACTTACTGTGGATTCATTATTATTAGTTGGATACCAATTTTTGTGCACAGGTAAACCACAAATCTAAATGTTAAAAAATCTACAAATTTTCTATTTATATATATGCAGACTTTGGCAAAATCAGGACATCAAACATTCATGAAAATAAAATTTGTCCTCAATCCATGAAAATTATTATCCAGGATAATACATGAATCCACAGTAATAGTTAAATTATCTAATCAATCTTAAAACAAGAGTGCACATGCTGAAATGTCTCACTTGCTTTACTGACCATGATTAATTTGATGTTGATGGTCTTCAAGATAAAGTTTTACTACAAGTATCATACAAACTTAACATTATCAATGATCCATGACAACGAGGTCAATGTCAGATGAACCGAGCCAGACAGATATGAACACCTTACAATCTTCCATATACCAAATATAGTTGACCTATCGCTTATAGTATCTCAGATATATACCATGAAAACGAGGCCAAGGTCAGATGAGCCCTGCTAGACAGAGATGTTCACCTTACAATCATTCCATAAACCAAATATAGTTGAACAATTGTTTTTCGTATCTTAGACGAGGACAAAACCACTAAAACTTAACATTGACCAATGAACTGTGAAAATGAGGTCAAGGTCAGATGAACCCTGCTAGACAGACATGTTCATCTGACATTCATTCCATTCACCACATATAGTTTACCTACTGCTTATAGTATCTGAAACGGACCTCATCACATAATTTTAACCTTGATCACTGATCCATGAAATGAGGTCAGGTGAACTCTGTCTGACAGATGTAGAAATTGCAAGAAACCCATATACCAAACATAGCTATCCTGTTACCCAAAATAAGTGAGAAATTCACATGACAAAAAAACTATCCATTTTTTTAAGCAGTCACTGAACCATAAAAATTTGTAAGGGTTCCGTGGAACCCAGTGTCTCGCCTACTTTTTCTGTTAATCGCAGGCTCAACAAAAATGAGGAAGTAAATCAATAAAAATATTCCACTTGATACTATCTTTTGATTGTAAGAAGCTTCTGTCCAAGTTTGGTAAAAATCCAGGATAGTTTATGAATCTAATAAATGTTTAAAAACTTTAACTGCAGACTGAATGTAATGTTAACTGGAAGAAGACAAAATTTCCTTCCTGATACTAGCATTTGATCATAAACAAGCTTCTGTCCAAGTTTGGTACAAATCCAAAATAGTATAAAAAAGTTATTAAAATTTTAAAAACTTTAACCACAGAGTGAATGTGTTGTTTCCTGGCAGAAAATCTAAGTCCATCTAAAAATAAAATAAGGAAAAAATGGATTTATTTTTTACAAAATTTACTTCTGGATACTATCTTATGATCATAAACAAGCTTCTGTCCAAGTTTGGTACAAACCCAGGATAGTTTAAGAAAGTTATTAAAGTTTTAAAAACTTTAACCACAGAGTGAATGTAATATTTCCCGGCAGAAAAACTAAGTCCATTTATAAGTAAAATACGGAAAAAAATGGAATTTTATTTTTCCAAAATTTACTTCTGGATACTATCTTATGATCATAAACAAGCTTCTGTCCAAGTTTGGTAGAAATCCAGGATAGTTTAAGAAAGTTATTAAAATTTCAAAAACTTTAACCACAGAGTGAATATTTGTGGACGCCGCCGCCAGAATGTAGGATCGCTATATCTCGCTTTTTCGACTAAAGTCGAAAGCTCGACGAAAATGAAGTCAAGGACAATGGACATTTGACAGATGGAAACTTCATAACATAAGGTATCTGAATACAAGGTATGAAGCATCAGGTCTTCTACCTTCTGTCTCAACTCCCACCGGATAGTAATCCTAACATCTCACATTCTGCAACTTTCATTGCAGGCGAAACAAAAAGCAATTAAATTAACATTCATGCAAAATATGCATTTAACATTGACACTGTTAAACTGAGCATATTTGAGGGCAGCCATTTTGTTTGAAGGTGTTTTCTGCAAACCAAACAACACCATAGTCATATACTACTGAAAGAGTACTTACCTTGGCTGCTTTATCAGACTTCAACTGCCGTACTTTATCACCCTGGGCTGCTATTTTGTTATTAATATCAACAGCAGACCCTCCTGTGGATGCTGCAGCTGGTGGTGTTCCAGTGGAAGGAGGAACACAGCCTGGTTTCCAGTCAGAACCAGTAGCAGATTTGTAGTCAGCTTTCAATGCCACGAGAGCCTTCACTGCTGCATCAATGTCAGCCTATTTTAAATAAAACATGATGTTTTTTTACAACTTTTCAGTCAAAGCAAACCTTCACATATTTGGTAATTATGTGTTGTTAGGTTGCTTTTTCATTGACATTTTCTATGGATACATTACTGTGGATTCATTTTTATTCGTGGTATACCAATTTTCGTGGGTTTCGTGGGTCACAGCGAACCACGAATTTAAGAACTCAACGAAGAATAGTCCCGAGAAATGTGTATGGAGTCGGATGTTTATTTCCGGTTATGTTATGCAGTTCTAGTATAGTGTTGACTGTCGATAAACACTGTTACATAACACGTGTTTTTATTAAAAGAAGATACAAGTATTTTGATTAAATTAATAATGAATATATCGAATATCAGTGATAATTTACTTTTTAAAATTGAATAAAACTGTTGATGGAAAATAACTGCAAGTTGTTAATTACCGTGTCATAGTGTGGTTTACTGGTGATTAAAAATCAATATGATTAAGTACGTGGATATTGCCCGTAGGTAATATTGTTTATGACAGGAACATTTATTTTCACACCTTTTACTTATATGGCTGTTTATTATATCGTGATTAGGGAAATGAACTTTCAATCATAGAGTTTTGAATGTCTTATAAAATTCCGACAAGAATTTATAAATTGTAAAACAAACAAGTAATTAGTTGTCTCTGTCCATTATTGTAATAGAAGTTTTCAATGAACACTTTAACCTAGAATGACCAAGCGAGGATTTTGACAATTCAATACTTTTTCAATGAATTCCTTCTTTTTTGTTTGTTTTATTATTGATCAAACCAAGGAGGTTATATGATCTCCTAAATTAAAAAGAAATCCACGAATTACGTATCTGATTTTTTTTCTTTTTGTAATCAGCGATCCACGAATTTACGTATACCACGAAACGTCTTTTTTTCTCTATCCACGAAAATTGATACCCACGAAAATAAATGAATCCACAGTATTATTCGTGGGACATTAATTTTTGTCGATTTTGTAGGCATATGTGAACCATGAATTTGAATGTTCAACAGAATACAAATTACCAATAGGCTTGTTAGCAGTATAAGTGATAACCATGAAATCAAGTCTCTACCCAAGAAAATACAATTTTTCTTGAATAAGTTTTCAGTGAACTAAAGAATACTATACTCATATACTACTCAAAGACATCTTACCTTAGGTGCTTTATCAGACTTCAACTGTCGGACTTTATCACCCTGGGCTACTATTTTGTTATTGATATCAACAGCAGACTCTCCTGTGGATGCTGCAGCTGGTGGTGTTCCAGTGGAAGGAGGAACACATCCTGGTTTCCAGTCAGAACCAGTAACAGATTTGTAGTCAGCTTTTAATGCCAGGAGAGCCTTCACTGCTGCTTCAATGTCAGCCTATTTTAATCAAAACATGATATTTTTAGTTTTTAGCATTAACAGTATTTTCTATCAAAGCAAACTTTCACATATTTGGTAACTGTGTGTTGTTGGGTTGCCCTTTTATTGATATTTATTCAATTTATTACTATGAATAAAAGAAGATGTGGAAAAAAGTAAAGTAGTGAGTAAAATGTGGAAAAAAGTAAAGTAGTGAGTAAATTTACCTTTGAATTAGTTATTTATCAAATGCTTTGTCCTTTTCAAATGAAACAAAAGACCAATATTTGTATTTTGTAAAAGTTATTGCCAACACTTTTACTACCTTTACAATTTTTAACTTTTCCCAACATTAGAATATCATTTTCCCACATACAATGAGGTGACCATTGGGGAATTACATTTCAGAGTGTCTTTTCTTAAATACATACTTTTAATGTAGTTATTTAAAATTACATTATAAATGTGTTACAATTCCATAAAATTTTCTGTAATAGAACAATACTATAATCAAATACTACTAAAAGATTCATTACCTTAGCTGCTTTATCAGACTTCAACTGTCGGACTTTATCACCCTGGGCTGCTATTTTGTTATTGATATCAACAGCAGACCCTCCTGTGGATGCTGCAGCTGGTGGTGTTCCAGTGGAAGGAGGAACACAGCATGGTTTCCAGTCAGAACCAGTAGCAGTTTTGTAGTCAGCTTTCAATGCCATGAGAGCCTTCACTGCTGCATCAATGTCAGCCTATTTTAAATAAAACATATTGATGACTTATTTTTACAAAATTGAGTTGGTAGAATATGGGATGCTTGCTGAAAGCTGTCTGCAACAACAAACTATGTATAATAGATACAACAATCACCAATTATAACATTTGTAACTTTAACAACATGTATGTAAATTTGTTTCAAAAAGAATCATCACTAATCAAAAATAAATGTGGATAGTGTCCACATGTGGACACAGATGATGCCCCCGCTTGCATAGCATATAGTTATAAAGGGACATAACTGAAGAATGGTACAAGTGACGCTACCCAAATTTGAACTTGATATGAGTTTTGTGGTAATAAGCATTGTGTGTAAGTCTCATAACATTTGGTTGAGGCTAACTTAAGTAGAGAACAGAAAGTAAAAATTCAGCAATTTTTCAATTTGTAAACACACATAACTCTAGAACGGTTGTGTATAAGTTTTATAACATTTGGTTGAGACAAACTAAAGTTAGAGAACGGAAACGAAAAATTCAGCAATTTTTATGTATATAAAGGGACATAACTCAAGAATGGTAAAAGTGTTCTCACCAAATTTCGTACTTAATCTGTATTATGTAGTAATAAGCATTGAGTATAAGTTTCATAACATTTGGTTGAGGCAAACTAAAGTTAGATAACGGAAACAAAAAAATTGCACTTGATCTTAGTTTTGTGGTAATGAATATTGTGTATAGGTTTCATAATGTTTGGTTGGGGCAAACTTAAGTTACAGAATGGAAACTAAAAATTTTGCAATCTTTCGATTTATAAAGGGGCATCACTCAATAATAGTTAAATTGACATTACCCAAATTCAACTTGATCTGTGTTTTATCAGTGGAAGTCAAAATTAAACATTGCATTGTATAAAGCATTGATTGTAGTTGATTCAACTATAATCATGGACAAAGGAAGATAACTCCAATTTTAATAAAATGCTCCACTGGGCGCAGCTTGATACGACCGCAGAGGTCGATCCCTGAACAGTTGGGGCAAGTATGGACACAACATTCAAGCTTGATACAGCACTGAATTTGGATTGTGATTAAATATTTGACACAGCACAGGTTTCTGACACAGAATGAATGTGGTCTAAGAACTTAAAAATTTTTAATTTACCTATTCAAACCATATCATTATTATTTGCTTTTATATATAAATCAGAAATAACCAATTTAAAATGGAAAATTTTAAAGAAAAAAAAATCCCCCCCCCCAAATTTTTTGAACCCCCTTATGATTCATCACCCCCAAACTCAATCCCAGCCTTCCGTTTGTGGTATGGTACCTGCAGTACAATTTCAGAGATATCCATACACTTGAACACAAGTTATTGTCTGGAAACTAGAAAAATGCTTGTTTTTTGGCCCCTTTTGGCCCCAAATTCCTAAACGTTTAGGGCAATTACCCCCAAACTGAAACCCAGCTTTACCTTTGTGATATGGAACCTTGTAGTACAGTTTCATGAAGATCCATACACTCACACACAAGTTATTGTCATGAAACTAGAAACATGCTTGTTTTTTGCCCCTTTTTTGGCCCCTAATTCCTAAAATTTTGAAGCAATTACCCCCAAAATCAATCCCAGCCTTCCCTTTGTGGTATGGTACCTTGCAGTACAATTTCAGAGAGATCCATACACTTGAACACAAGTTATTGTCTGGAAACTAGAAAAATGCTTATTTTTGGCCCCTTTTTGGCCCCTAATTCCTAAACTTTTTGGGCAATTACCCCCAAAGTCAATTCCAGCTTTCCCTTTGTGATATGGAACCTTGTGGTACAATTTCAGAGAGATCCATACACTAACACACAAGTTATGTCTGGAAGTTACAAAAATGCTTATTTTTGGCCCCTAATTCCTTAACTGTTGGTACCATAACCCCCAAAATCAATCCCAATATTCCTTTTGTGGTATTGAACCTTATGGTAAAATTTGATAGAGATCCATTCACTTAAACTTAAGTTAGAGTGCGAAAACCAATGTGTCTTCGGACGACGCAGAAAATTTTTTTTGCGGTGGTAAAAAAATTACTTGATATTTAGAAGAAAATAAAAATTTTGCAATTTTTCCATTTATAAAGGGGCATAACTCTAGAACGGTTAAAGTGACGCCACCAAAATTCAAACTTGATCTGTGTTTTGTGGTAATAAGCATTGTGTATAAGTTTCATAACATTTGGTTGAGGCAAACTCAAGTTAGAGAATGGAAACCAATTTTGGGATGTACGTACGTACAGACAGACAAGGGTAAAACTTAATGCCCCCACCGCTACGGAGGGGGCATAACAAGTTTATTTCTGAGAAATTTGACCCTGATCTGGAGGAACCATAGACATTTAAATATTTCACCAAAATTCCAATTTTTTCTTCATTCACAAATCAAATTAATTCAGACAGGGGAAACTGCACTCAGAAAAAGAACTGGCCACAAAAAAAAACTTTCTGAAATATAATATTCAGTAATAAAAGTGATAAAACATCATTAATATCTTTTATTTACGAAGATTTGTAGATGTATCTAATAAATTAAAAATTTTCACTAAATTCTTACTTTTGCAGCCTTCGCACTCTTAAGATCCCTGACTTTATTACCCTGGGCTGCAATCTCTTCATTCAGTTTTCCAGCATCACATTTTACAGAACTTGTTGTTGCAGGCAGTGTGGCCTTTGGTGGATCATCTGGTTTCCAGTCCTTACCAGTGGCAGCCTTATATTCAGCTTTCAGGGCTAACAGTATCTTAACTTCAGTATCAATCAACTCCTTAACATTAGGGAAAACAATATAATATTGAAAAAAAATTAAAAAAATTGTTTCACAGGTAAAATGTATCAATAAATAAATGTGGATAGTGTCCACATGTGGACACAGATGATGCCCCCGCTTGCATATCATATAGTTATAAAGGGACATAACTGAAGAACGGTAAAAGTGACACTACCCAAAATTTTGTGGTAATAAGCATTGTGTGTAAGTCTCATAACATTTGGTTGAGGCTAACTTAAGTAGAGAACAGAAACTAAAAATTCAGCATTTTTTCTATTTGTAAACACGAATAACTCTAGAAGGGTTGTGTATAAGTTTCCTAACATTTGGTTGAGGCAAACTAAAGTAAAAACGGAAACAAAAAATTTGTACTTGATCTTAGTTTTGTGGTAATGAATATTGTGTATAGGTTTCATAATGTTTGGTTGGGGCAAACTTAAGTAACAGAAAGGAAACTAAAAATTTTGCAATCTTTCGATTAAAAAGGGGCATAACTCAATAATGGTTAAAGTGACAATACCCAAATTCAACTTGATCTGTGTTTTATCAGTGGAAGTCAAAATTAAACATTGCATTGTATAAAGCATTGATTGTAGTTGATTCAACTATTATCATGGACAAAGGAAGATAACTCCAATTTTAAAAAATAATCAAAGCGCGAAAGCGCTGTAAAGGCAGTTAATTACAGGTTGTGTGTATTTTTAGTCCAGTTATATCATTATCTTGCATAGTACATTGTACTTATCAGAGGTGGCTTTCAGTATTTAAGATTTAGAGTTCTCTTGGCGTTAATATTGATTCACTTATAGGGTCTTTGCATCGGCACTAAACACATTTATTTAAAAACCAGTTGTTGGCATGACACGGGTTATGTTCTTCTCATATATGTTATGATGGTATGATACTAAACCCCTAACGGGAAGGATTGTGCCTGATATTCATATGATGAAGACATAATCTTTCAATCAGTTTAATTGAAGTCTGGAGCTGGCATGTCAGTTAACTGCTAGTAGTCTGTTGTTATTTATGTATTATTGTCATTTTGTTTATTTTCTCTGGTTACATCTTCTGACATCAGACTCGGACTTCTCTTGAACTGAATTTTAATGTGCGTATTGTTATGCGTTTACTTTTCTACATTGACTAGAGGTATAGGGGGAGGGTTGAGATCTCATAAACATGTTTAACCCCGCCGCATTTTTGCGCCTGTCCCAAGTCAGGAGCCTCTAGCCTTTGTTAGTCTTGTATTATTTTTAATTTTAGTTTCTTGTGTACAATTTGGAGTTTAGTATGGCGTTCATTATCACTGAACTAGTATATATATTTGTTTAGGGGCCAGCTGAAGGACGCCTCCGGGTGCGGGAATTTCTCGCTGCATTGAAGACCTGTTGGTGGCCTTCTGCTGTTGTCTGTTCTGTGGTCGAGTTGTTGTCTCTTTGACACATTCCCCATTTCCATTCTCAATTTTATCTAATGATATTGAACAAGTTTTATGAATGTCATATTCTGAGCACTATATGAAGGCGATTGTTCTCACTTGTTTATGAACTGGTGCATTATGTCCAGTTTGTACCTTTTTTATCTATGTTTATAGTCAAATACTGTTTAAAATAGTTTGGCATTTTCTTTTAAGTAATAAGTAAATGTTATCGACTGTATTTTATTCAACTTTGCAAATGTGGTTTGTTACTGGTAAGTACAATGTATGGATGATAGTTGTTTCATTGGCAATCATAACACATCTCCTTATTTATATAATGATCTATATTCAACGACCTCAGGTACAAAAAAATGTATGTAACTAAACTATGATGGGAAACCTTTGACTTCTTTCTTTAATATAAACTTTTGATTTGGTACCATAGAACTATGTAGAATAAATGTACATTGCAACATGTCAACTCTTTCAATGACAATACTTTTTTTAGAAACTATAACTCCAAGCAAAATTATATTTCCAAGTATAAAGTAATTTATGAATGAAACAAGAGTGCACAAGCTGAAATGTCTCGCCTTCTTTACTAATCATTGATATTATGTTGATAGTCCTAAATATAAAGCTTTATTACAACTGTCACATAAACTTAACATTAACCAAGTAAACTAAACATTGACCAATGAACCAAGAAAATGAGGTCAAGGTCAGATGAACCATGCTAGGCAGGCATGTACAGCTAACAATTCTTCCAAACAACAAATATAGTTGACCTATTGCTTATAGTTTAAGAAAAACAGACCAAAACACAAAAACTTTAAACTGAGCAATGAACCTTGAAAATGAGGTCAAGGTAAAAAAAAACCTGCGTGACTGACATATAGATCATAAAATATTTCCATACACCAAATATAGTTGAACTATTGCATATAGTATTAGAAAAAAAGACAAAACTCAAAAACTTAACTTTGACCACTGAACCATGAAAATGAGGTCAAGGTCAGATGACACCTGCCAGCTAGACATGTACACCTTACAATCATTCCATACACCAAATATAGTAGACCTATTGCATACAGTATAAGTAAACAGACCAAAACACAAAAACTTAACTATAACCACTGAACCATGAAAATGAGGTCAAGATCAGATGACACCTGCCAGTTGGACATGTACACCTTACAGTCCTTCCATACACCGAATATACTAGACCTATTGCTTATAGTATCTGAGATATGGACTTGGACCACCAAAACTTAACCTTGTTCACTGATCCATGAAATGAGGTCGAGGTCAAGTGAAAACTGTCTGACGGGCATGAGGACCTTGCAAGGTATGCACACTTTTTTTTCAAGTAGTCACTGAACCATGAAAATGAGGTCAAGGACATTGGACATGTGAATGACGGAAACTTCGTAACATGAGGCATCCATATACAAAGTATGAAGCATCCAGACCTTCCACCTTCTAAAATATAAAGCTTTTAAGAAGTTAGCTAACGCCGCCGCCGGATCACTATCCCTATGTCGAGCTTTCTGCGACAAAAGTCGCAGGCTCGACAAAAAGGAGTTCTTAATTAAGTAATAAACTGATTCGCTGAGCGCAGCTGGATACACCCACAGAGGTCCAACCCTGAACAGTTGGGGCAAAAATGGACACAATATTCAAGCTTGATACAGGTCTGAATTTGGATTGTAATTAAATATTTGACATATTATAGTTTCTGAATAAATGTAGTCAAAGAACTTGAAATCGGTTATATGAATTGAATTTATATTCAATTAAAGATTTCTTGCTGTTGTGCAATACACTGTGCTGTTGCGCAATACTTAATAAATCTGTTGCCAGACTATAAACAAATAAAGTTCAATTTCTTCTCAATGTCATATTTGAAATTTATGAAAATCAATAGGGAGATTACATCAATAGCTATAAATAATTCACCAAAGTTTCATGCGAACTGCTTAAAGCATTTTTGAGTTGTTGTCCAAAAACTGGAAAATCCCCCCCTTTTTAATGAATAAAACCCCATAACTCAGAAATGTAAAATCTAAAATTTATAAAATTCTAAAGGGAGCTTACGGATTGATAATTTAGTCTTAGATGCAAGATTTTTTTATCAGTTGTTTGTGGCTTTGAACTAGCTGTCAGTAAATGCGAGTACTCTCAGATCTGTACTTAGTGTCTTTTTGTTGTTTGGATGTACAACTACCCGGCCACGTCCACTTGTATTTGTATTTATCCATCTGATGAGTTAAGCCTCTTTCAACTGATTTTTATAGTTCGCTCTTATATTGTACTGTTACACCACTGTCCCAGGTTAGGGGGTGGGTTGGGATACCGTGAACATGTTTAACCCCGCCACATTCTGTATGTACATGTATGTGCCTGTCCCAAGTCAGGAGCCTGTAATTCAGTGGTTGTCGTTTGTTTATGTGTTGCATATTTGTTATTCGTTCATTTTTTGTACATAAATTAGGCCGTTAGTTTTCTTGTTTGAATTGTTTTACATTGTCATTTCGGGGCCTTTTATAGCTCACTGTGCGGTATGTGCTTTGCTCATTGTTGAAGGCCGTACTGAGACCTATAGCTGTTAATTTCTGTGTCATTTGGTCTCTTGTGGAGAGTTGTCTCATTGGCAATCATACCACATCTTCTTTTTTATATTTACATCAACAGATATAAACAATTCACCAAAGTCAAGGTGAGACAACAAAACTTAGTTGTAAGATCTCTGAAATTTTTTACACGGTACAAGTTTTTCTAATTGTTGGAGATTGTATGGTGACAGTAACACCTGTAACTGCTTAACCCATTTCTTATGCACTTTGGTTCGATAAACTCACTGAATATCATACCACATCTCCTTATTTTTATATGCATTACAATTTACATGTGCATGTAATTGTAAATAATATTTATATATATATATCAGAACAAACTTCATTGCGTCACTTTTATTTATGCATCCTTTGGCACAATACAAGTTCTAAAATTACACAACATAAAACAACTAAATGTTATTTCAGATGAAAGTTTTGTTTCAGTTCCATTCATAGGATTTATTAGAATTTTGTATGTTTTGCAAAGTCCAATAATTAGCTCTATGTGCACGTGTTAATTGGAGACTTTTCTATCCCGTATAAGAGTTTTGGAACTAATTCTGTTTCTTTTTTTGAAAAAAGTGAGCAAACAAATCTTGCACATTTAAACCTTTGTCTGCCATCACACTGTCACCTGGATCACATAATTGAACTATTCTACATCTTTCAACTATTTCACAGTCACTGGTACAACCAACATATGCATTAGAGACATAGTTGACTAAACCACCAGGTGTCGAACATACAAGTATTTTCAGTGTTTCTGTTTTTATATGATGAAAAGGTTGCCTGAGCTCTAGGAGCTTTAGGTTTTATCACGGGATATTCTGTGCTGTCAATAATAATCCAAGTTGTAGGAAACTTTAATTCTAAGTTGGATGGCGAAAAATACCTGACTAAACCACTAAATGGCCAAGTGTTAGCCTCACGCCACTGTTTAGACATAAAAACAATCCATG